GCAGAAGAAAAATGTTTTGTTAAGAAAAATGTTTTGTGGAATAGTGAAGAAGTGAAAGAAACTGCGAGTTTTATTGCCAAGGACAGAACAGGAATGCCACACCCAGAGTGATACTGCTTCAAAGAATGTCTCCAGAGAGGTGATTATTCAACTTATTTCGTATTCTGCGCAAACTCTGGCTTGCTTATTCAATTTATTAAATAACACAGATGTCTCAGAAGGAGAAAAAAGTATCTGACACCTCTTGAGAGGCATGACTAATGGGCCATTATGACAGAAATGAAAGGGTAACCACTTGCTGAACAGCTAACTGACACGGCTACTATGCATTTCTTAGGGTTTCCGTTAATTACATAAAATTTCAGTTTCCAATGAATTCAATTAAACCAAAGTAGGGCAACAAGTGGAAGGAAAAGTTGGTGAAGAATGACTTGCTAAAAATGCACACTGGCTGAACACATAATGTTTTATGGTCAGGGTTTAGTATTTCTTTCCTCCTGGACTCTGACTGATTTATCAGAGCTTCTTGGCAGACGTGCAACCTTTAAAATCCTTTTCCAATCAGCATGCCCAACCAAAGTAGTAGAAAGTAACAAAAGATGTCTCGAATCCATAATTAAATTTGAAGGATAACAGGATGTTCATTTTAAGTAATGATTATTAATACATGCCCCTTTATAAAACTTTCATATTTAGTTTTAACTTCTGGAGGGTCAGGCCTGGGTCTTAATAGTGTTCTTCCTAGCTCAGAGATTAGTACAGAACCTGGGACACAGCAGCTGCCCAGGAATGTTTCCTAAATATATGGATAAGTAAATGGATTTGAGACGTTGTAGAATGATGGATAAAACAATCCATGTCTGCTCCCACCAAGTAAGGTAACAAATGATCCCTATGCCTAATTAAGTTTGAAAACAACTTTTTCTCTATAGAAAAAATAAACAAGCATATAAAGCAAAAACAATGGTTTTAAAGTCAGAAAATAAGGACTCTAGCTCTGTGCCAGTTTGAATAAAGAGAACATTGAAAAAGAGAGACATATTGCTATGTGGCATCATATCCAGACTTCAGAGTCATACAACGTTTCCCACTGCATTTACAAGTTTAGATACAATCTTTGACAATATCCTGCAGAACTATGGAAATGTTCAATAATTGTTCTTTTACTTCTCATATTCACCATGGATTAGGTGAAGTCCTGTGAGCAGCTTATCAAGGCCATGATGTGAGGCTTTTAGAATATCTATGGTTTGTCAACTGCATTTTAACTGGATTAACTTTATAAGAATTTTACTTTTATTAAGTAACAAGGGCATTTTGCAATAACATGCTTAAATGATTGTCAAACACTGCTATTCATATTATATGAAAACAGCCAAAACGGAACTGTTGGTTGGCAGGAAGCACCACTTTGTGAAATCTATATGTAAAGGTAGAAATATTCATGTTATCCCAAAGTGGAAATGTTCAAAAGCTGATGCTTCCTTTAACGACTAAGATCCGAGTGAATTAGAAAGACTATGGAATATCACTTGGAATTCGCAAACCTTGGCCTAAGAACAGTTTTCTTCAGGGTAGAGAAAACTTGAACCAGGGATCACCATGCAATGCTTATTGGTGTAAAAAAGTAATAAAGAGAAACTCAGTTTTACTGCCTCTAGCTTACTGCCAGTATTATTGCAAGCGATAAAAGTAAAATAATGTGGCTCAAAAATAAGTGGACAAAATCAAAATGTGAAAAGTTGAAGGGAATCATCCAGCAGCTACTGAATGGAACAAATGGATCTTAGGTTTAAAATTCTTAGAATTTATTCTCAGATCTTGAGCATAATAAAAAGTCTTTGAAAAAAATCATAGGTACTTTTTTTTTTTTTAAATCACAGGTACATTTTAAAAGAAAAATGAAGAGAACTAAAACATCTGATCTACAATATCAACAATTTATCTAATTTATCTATTTAGCATCTTTTTAATGTAATTGAGTCTTCTTGTCTTTACACTATCTAGCATACAGTCCATAAATATTTACTGAGTACCTACCACTGTGGAGGCAGGTGGCATGCTAGAAGAGAGGGATTCCAAACTAGGTTCTTGAAGAGAAACAGGTAAATATGTATGTTTACAATACAAATACAATGAGGTAAGAGTTTACAGGGACATATACAAAATGTATCAGAAGAATATTTATTAACTGCAACCTGTCTTGTGTGGGAGGAATTAAAAAATAATGCTGAAATAATGCTTTTGAACATTTTTCATTAACCTATATGCAAAATTCTTCGATCACATTAAAATAATAACATTATTTGCTAGTAGCAGAAGTGTGATTTGTATTTCAACCTTCTGAGTATTTTTGCATTTGTCATTTTTTGCTTACTCCTTCACTTAGTAAACCACTACTTTATAATGACCTTCTCCTGAAATTTTACTCAAAGACTAAATTTTCAGTGCTTGGTAATTTATGCACTTCCTCAATTTCTAAAAGTAAAACTGAGAAGTACTTCAGAGTAATAAGGAAAAAAAAAGCGAAGGTTAACAATTTACAAATATGATTGGGCACGTCTTTACATAAGGCCATTAGACCAATATGAAAAATCATGAAGTGAATCAGGGAACTGATCAGCCACTGTCAAGAGGAACTGTACTATTTGGAGAATGCACAGTAATATACAGAAAAGTTGTAGTGATGTAAGGGACAAAGGATTAACAACACAGCCCTGGCAACAGAGAAACACTCCTGGTCTTTGGCACATAACGTACCTATTTATTGCAAAGAATTCACGAACTTGCTAAATAAAATGTGTAGTATTGTCCGTGAAATTTTAGAACATAAATTTCTTTTAAGAAGTATACAAAAAGTAAAATAAATAAAATCTGCTTGTTTTATATTCAGTCATACTCTTTTACTTACTCTGGGCTGTAAGGTAAACAGCCATTCTGTACGATGCTTTAAGCAATAATCTTCAGTAATCAAAGGTTTCGCCAAATGGGAACTTCTGACTTTTAACCCACTTAATTTCCAAATACTAGGTAGGTATCAAGTTAAAGATGCCAAGTCCTGCCATATGTACATATGTGTATGTTCCCAGACTGAGGCCCCAAGAGTAGAGGCCAAAGACATAGGCTATGTGTGGGGCCAAAGAGTACTGAGAGTTTGTATCAGCCTAAACCTCTGGTGTCTTTAGGGGGAAATACAAAGTTTTTAGCTTCTCCGTACCTATGAGAACCATACCACCACCCAGAAGTCATAAGTCAATCCAAAGGGGTGACAAACACAATTGGCCTCTATTTATCCCGAGATACTGAATGGGTATCAGGTAAGGCAAATCATCATAACAGTCCCATCTGTCAGTCGGGCACTGAGTCAGTATCTCTGCAGTAGTTTCTACTGATTGATGTGAAATACACGTGCAAACATAATTCTCTCTTCTACCAGAGTAACTTAGTGAAAGTCATTTATAAAAAGACATTATTAAGTGTGTAGAACAATTAACACAACTTACATAGCAATCAAGTGCCTATACGGTGAGAATAAGTTTGCTAATGCCACACCGAGCAATCCTCTCCCTCCAAGTTCTCCCTTTACTGCACAAAATTCACCACCATCATGAAGGGTTTATAAAGGGAAATTAGGGCATGGATATCAAGGAAAACCTAAAGTAAAACAAACCCAATGCATACTGGAAAAGAGAAGTGTAGGGATATTGAACAATTTTTACTGAGGTAGGAAAGATATCTGGGAGTTCAGAAATGATGCTGAAGGGGCGCCTGGGTGGCTCAGTCGTTAAGCGTCTGCCTTCAGCTCAGGTCATGATCCCAGGGTCCTGGGATCGACCCCCGCATCAGGCTCCCTGCTCAGCAGGAAGCCTGCTTCTCCCTCTCCCCCTCCCTCTGCTTGTGTTCCCTCTCTCGCTGTGTTTCTCTCTGTCAAATAAATAAAATCTTAAAAAAAAAAAAAAAGAAATGATGCTGAAAACATAAATCAGGGGCACCTGGGTGCCTCAGTAGGTTGAGCGTCCAACTCTTAATTTCGGCTCAGGTTATGATCTCAGAGTCCTGGGATCAAGCCCCTCAACGGGCTCCAAGCTCAGCAGGGAGTCTGCTTCAAGTCTCTCTCCCTCTCCCTTAACACCTCCCCCTGCTCACATGCTCACTCGCTTTCTTTCTTTCTCTCTCAAATAATATTTTTTTTAAAAAAGAAAGAAAAGTCAATTGTAATTCATTTCTTCATTCTTCCTCTTTTTCTTCATTTCTCAAATCTCCCCAAAGGAAGAAGTAGGTCTTTTTTATAAGATCGTGAAAATGTGAAAATCATTATATTTTATTACTAAGTAATGAGCTCAATAGCGCCAGTGCTCCTGAGTCTGCATTCTCCCTGCCTGACCCTCTAAGGCTTTCCTTCCTCAAGCAACGAAGAGGTTCTGGGTTGGACAGAAGATCAAGGACTGAGACAGCTCAGGAACGGGGCAGGGATGTCGATTATATACTCAACAGCAAATTTTTTAAAAAGGTTTGAAAATTTAATTATTTGCTTTCTAAACCCCATCAATAATATTGACTTCAATAGTGACTGTGTTAAACAGCAGTTAAAAAAATGACTTGATCAAAATATTCTGTGAATCCTTTCAAATACTCAAAACTGGAAATTTGTCCAAAGACCCATTTTCAAGCCCCCAACCTCTATTACAGATAAAGAAATATAAGAAAACCCTTGGGGAAACCAGTTATTCTCTAGGTCTTAGTCTAAAACATTAAATCAATTCATATTTATTGAGGTACAACTACTTATGACTAAATCTTAAAATTAAATTATACATGCAAAAGAAACAATATAAAAAACAGCAAGAAAAATGAAATTATATAAAACAGAAAATCAAACACATGAGGTTTTTTTTAAACTACTCCTCAAAGAAAGCACTTAACAGACCATTTCCTGAATCATTAAGATGAAAAAAACTGCAAGGAGAAACAGTAACAGGAGATATAAACCTGGATCATACCTGCCATGCTGTGAGGCAAGAGGTGCACATCAAATGCCCACAAGGCTCAATCTTGACATCTTTGTCGTTCTCAGCACAAATTTTACACAGCTGAAAAGTGGAGCCCATTTCACAATATAATTCATATTGTTCCTGGAATTTGGGAGGGGAAAAAAGGCAGTGTTAATGTATTTCTAACATGAACTCCTAATATTGAATTTTTTCAAATACAATGACTTACAGTAAATTCCTCACACTTGATCCTGTCAGGAATATGTTGCCACTTACAACATGTTTTAAATTGTTAATCACAATTTGGACATTTGAGCTTTTATCTGCAATTGTATAAGCTTTTTTATACTTTGGATTATTTAATGTTTTATACTGTTCCTTTAGGAAGGGACTTGCTTCAATGGTGACTCAAAAGACAAAACTTATGGTTTTAAAAGAAAATATAAATAACTTTAGTTTCTTTGTGTGTTTTTTTTTTTAAAGATTTTATTTATTTATTTGAGAGAGAGAGAATGAGAGATAGAGAGCACGAGAGGGAGGAGGGTCAGAGGGAGAAACAGACCCCCCGCTGAGCAGGGAGTCCAATGCGGGACTCGATCCCAGGACTCCAGGATCATGACCTGAGCCGAAGGCAGTCGCTTAACCAACTGAGCCACCCAGGAGCCCCAACTTTAGTTTCTTTGTAAGTGCCATATATTCATCTAATTTTACTGTAAAATTGCAAACACACATACATACTTATACACACACACACATATATATGACTCTGACTGAACACTCAATTTTATTTTTTAAATACCTTTAGAAATTCCAGAACAGAAGAAAGGCAGAATTTGCCAAGCTCTTCCTGCATGCTACAGACTGTGGTCCACATTTATTATGTCATATCATCTCCAAAGCATAGTAAGACATATTGAATTAAAAAAAATACCTGAGGCTCAATAAGTTTAAATTATTTTCCTCAAATTCTATATTAAATCTCTAAATTGCATACTCTTTTCCCAATACAGCACTGTCAGGAAAACTAATCACTTCAGCAACCAAAAATTGTTTTATTAAACATCTATTCTCTTGATATACTAGTTTTGAACATTTTGACATAGTAAAATTCTTGGTGTCCAAATACTGAAAAGATCTAGGTCACAAAGAAGATATAAATATATCAGTACGTGTAAAGAAAATATGAAAAAAAGTTAATTAATAGGGATACAAAGAAAAGGAATTATGGAAATAAAAATTCATTTAAATAAGGCAATGTTTCAGTTAATAAGTGTCTATTAGGTACCTGGCCCTTGGCAGGATAAATAAACGACAATATTTAACTGCTAGTCTACTAAAAGATCTTATAATCTTGGTGAGAAAAAATATATATATATATATATATTTATATACACGTATATACACAAAGATACACATGCACATACACACATTCATATACAAATTGTGTCTACCATGAAGTATGTATGTGTGACTGTTTAATTTTTAAAGAAATTAAGAAAAAAGACGAGAATGGATCAAGATGAAAAATAAAGAAATCTAAAGCAATTAAAAATATATTGTAAGTCACTGAAGTCTTTAAAATAATAGCTAAGTATTTATATTGTTATGACATCCAAAGGACTGGTTTGCAATTATTAAAAAAATTACAGTGAGCTAAAAGCACGGATGCAAAACTCAATGGAACCTAATGGGTAAGTTATTCAAATATTTATGATAATTTAATGGAATGATATTACTCCTGATTATGTATTTTTAAACCATGGCTTTATAAAGGGGAACTTTCTTTTGTGAGTGTCCTTTTACATGTATTAGAACATAAGGAATCACTACATAATTAAAATAATGTCAATTATATTTTATACTGTAAAAACTGTCCATCAACTGTACATATGTCAACAAATATGTTTCACATAATAATACCAAGACCACTGGGACTAAATCTGGAGAATTTGAAATAAAATAAAATGATCTCTTGTCTTCCCCCAAATCTACATTTTCTGGTTTTTATTTGATTTTTATTATTTATTATACAAAGCACAAAAACATATAAATTATAAAATATTTTAAAACTAGAGTATATGCAAAACAAAATACTCAGGTTCTCCCTTTCATCTTCTTCCTAATTCCCTAAACCTTCTTACCTCCTCAGTTAAGTACTGTTACCAGTTTGGTATTTTTAATTGTTATTTTTAAAAATGGCAATTTCTTTCTTTCTTTCTTTCCAGAAACTGAACTAACATAATGTAACTTTACACAATGAAATGTTACATAATTGAGATTCTTAGTAATGGAACTTTTTTACATAATAAAGATGCCGAAGTTCCCATGTGAATATGTGGAGCTATCTTCCTCCTCTTAATGACTTTACAGTATAATGCAGTATGAATATACTATGGTTTACTTAACCTATGATTAAATAGTTTATAATTTTTCATTTTAGGAAAAATGCTGAAGTAAATACCCCAATGTACAGATCTTTCTTTGTATATGTGAGTGATATATACAGAATCCAGAGTCAAAAATGTTTTTATTTAGATTTTGATAATTACTATTACCCTCAAGAAAGGCTTACCAAGTTACACTCTCATGCAGTCTATGAGGTTGCCAACAATAGATTTATAAGAATATAATTATTATCTTCAATACACTTCAAGTACCCATTTGACTCTAAAAGCTAATGCATATTATTATTCTAATCTTCTTTGGCGTTTACTAAATCTATGGCTCTCTCTTCATAACTATTTACTTACCTATGAATTTATCTATCTGTCTGCATAAATGCCAATATTGTATTGGAAGCAAGAATATTAACAGAAGAAATTTTTATTCAAAAAATGGAGACAGTATTTTTTTCAAACACTCTTAGAATTCCTTAAAGTATCTTCTGCATGAAATACCTATACATCCTTTTAGCTACAGTATAAGAGGATGCTTTTTATTTCAAAAGCATTAGATACTTAACAATTATAAATGGGTTACCAGAAATTGTCCTTACCTGCGTAACTTTTATATGGTCATGGGGTGTGGGTTCACATAATCCAGTTAAATCAGGATTATAACTCCTCCCATCAGGATAAAGATAGCTGTATTATAAACATGAACTTTATTACCATAAATATACATTTTTTAATTGCATTTAAGATTATTTAATCTGATTCTTTTATATTCAAACCCACATGTTGAAGTTTCCTTTTTATGTAATTTATATCAAGAACCTTTGCTATCACTGTTTCCATAATATTACAAGTTACTTTTAGGACATTTAAAATTTAGAAATCATTTTCATATAAGAAGTACATAATGAATATGGACTCAGCCACTAAGCAACTATTTCCAATTAAATATCTTTACTATAGTCCTTTAGGTAAGTTAAACATTTATTTTTCTGGTCATTCATGGTCTATTCCAAAACACTTTGAATGTACACCAATTTGCAATGATCGTGTTTCTCATGTGAAGCACAGTTAATGTTACCTGCATCATTTTACACCATGCTTAATAACACGAGAGAAAAACGGAATTAAAGCCCACAAGTTTCCTATAAAAGTTATGCAAACATCTCCATGGTTCCTGTTTCTCCAGTTTCCCATCCTCTGTCTTTCCATCTCACCTTCCAGTCACCCCTACACACACTAGTCTACACACATGCTGACAAACACATGTACACGCATGATTAAAGAAATTAGAAAATGTTACAATTATATGCTTCATTTACTTCAAATCAAACTAAAAACACAATCATTTATAAATATGAGGTTCCACTGTTACAGAGAATTAAAATAAGAACTAAAGTTATAGCAATAAGGCCATCTTGTTAAAAGCTTTTATTCATTCAGACACTCCTTTAAAAATGAAGTTTATTGTGTTAGGAAATACCTATTTTAGATTTTTAAAAATGGTAATATTACTGTTGGATAATGTTGACTGATTAAGTTATATAGTTAGTTTTGTTTGGTAGCTCTCTGTTTTGGATGGCTTGAATGAAAAATTCAGAATATACTACTACTGTGATCAATATTTTTAGGGGCAAAACTATACTAAAACTGTTCTGTGAAGTAACAAAAAAATTTATTCTTAAATAGTCCAAAATATGTTCATAAGTGTTAAAATTTACTAGTAAAACTAGAAAAAAAATTAACTTAGAGGACAGACGATTCTCATAGGGTAAGGAACAAATCAGTAGATCAGTGAATTTTTTTTTTTTTTTTTTACAATTTAGGAAAGAGAGTTGACTACATCTGAAATGACAAATTTAGAGTGTTTTCGCAGGGGTGGGTTAAAGTTCTACAAATATTAAATGAAGAGTGCTAAGTGAGAGTTGGTAAGTAGATTTCTTTTTATACCCTAAATAATGGCCAGTTTTAAAATTATTATATAACATTTTGCTCATCACACTTAAAAAACATGTAGAAATTCTATGAAGAATTCAAACCTGAAAGATTATAAAAATGACAATAAGGTTGCTACAGGAAAGGTTGAAGGGTCTATCTAATGTATAAGGGGCAATTTGTTATCACTATCCTCAGTAAACAAGGGTCTACTGATGAGACCCTCCTCAATGGTAGGAAAGGAATAAACAATCTCGGTTGGCTGGTTATGGAAGTAAATTACCTACGTCATACTAAATTGAGTTAATTAAGGAAAGGACAGCTGACCCTGATGATAGCTGGACCAGATAATATCCTGTGTTTTACTGATCTTAGGGGAAAAAAAAAAACATCTAATAATATCTATTTTAATATAATCTAAAAATCTGATTTAGTTTTAAATAATAAAATGTTAATATGACCTATTTTAATGTACTCTATCACTACAGTTCAAATTCAACTAATTAAATGCCTCTGAAGGGGTGTTTGTATGTATGTGTGTGTGTGTAAATATTAACATCTGATTTGCGTAGGAGTTCAGAGGCTACACTACTGATTACAATATTATAATTTGGTTTTTTTATTGGCTTTTAAAAAATAGATGGAAGGCGTTATGAACAATATAAATAAGTTGTATCAAAATTACTACATGTACAGATTTGCTCGCTCATAACCTCTATTTATAAAGTAAAACTTTACAGCACACTTTCTTAAAAACAAAATCCTGTCATCACAGTGAATCAAAAGCTACACATATGAATCTCAGATGCATTACAAGTAAGTTATAAATAACTGAGGATAGCAAATTTATACTAAGTTAAAAACACAGAAATACAAACTTGTTACCAGTTTGCCATACAATTCTTACGTAATTATTTCTTGAAAGCTCATAATTTATAAAAAAATGTTTTTCTTCATATATATCCTAGCACTTTTTTTTTTCTTTTTTGCAATTATTTTAGAAAAGGTGTAACTTAAATTATTTTCTCTTTGCTAACTCTTGTGCGCTTTTTCCTGCTAGGTTTCTATCACAATCTGTGCTGTTAGCAAATAAGAGAACATCCGTCCCTTATTACTCAGTAAGGGCAAAGGGCAAGAAAAGTGAGCATGATGATACGACAATAGAACAGAACAACACAAAAAAGAGAACAAAAAGATGAAGGGAATGGCACATGACTAAAACGAATGAGAGATATTTACTAGGAAGGCCCCTATCAGATTGTCTAAACTTTGTGGAGAAAAAAAGTCATTCTTACTCTAAAAGACAAAGGAGAACATACTTATTTTTAAATTTTAAAAAAGAATAGCTTAAGTTAAACTGAATTCAGCTCTTAACATATAATTCTGGAATAGGGATTGAATATCAGTGTGACCAAAAGAAGAAAGACACAAAGAGAAAAAGCGGGGAAGGGGTAAGAAAAGGATAAGAAGAAGAAAGAGAAAATCTGGTACTACCGGTCAAACAAAAAGGAAAACTAGCAACATGAGGGTTAAACGAAGCAAGAGAAGTTGGTTATTTTAAAGAATTATCTTTTTAATAAGTTTTTTCATCTATTTTAAACTCCTTTTAAGTGCTTTTTTTTTTTTCCTGTGAAAAATACAAACTCATGTTCTAATCTGATGCTGGAATTTACTGGCTGTCATATACAGTTTAAATCAAACCAGTTACCTTAAAATGACTATTTTAAGTGAACGATAAGAACTAAGGAGCACTCCATTCCTCAGTCTTGAAATAGACCAGATCATCAGCCTCACTATCTTTTCTCTCCATCATAAAGCAGTGTCTGTCTTTCAAACTGGTGAATAATAAGCACCCTGACTCCCATTTCTCATACTCACAATCCTTCCCTGCTGCCGTCAATCAGGGCTTGAAATAAGGGCTTGTTATGCGGGATGGTCTGTAGGATATTGCCGTCCCCTGTCACATAGCCGATGGCCCACTGTCCCAATCTGGTGCAGCTTAACCGGAAAATGTAGCTGTAAAGCGTGAGAAAATGATGTTTAGTCACAAAGTGTATGCTAACTACTAAACAATCTGTTAGACTTTTTTAAAGTCAAAGAATAAACGGAATCATTTAGAATATCCGAAATAAGGTTCTTTCTTCTTATTTTAACACCATTGTCCTTCTCTGTTCATTGATCTGTAAAAGCAGCACTGACAGTAATCCCACTTAAACACCTCCAGGGCTATAGGACAAAAGAACTGAAGTTGATCTACTTCAATATCAAAGGATCTACTGCCATCCCCATCAGCGGGTGCTCAGTATGAAACAGTTAGGACAGAAATCGTTTTTGGAAAGCAAAGTCAAAATTTAATTTGTTCACTTCAGAGAGCAATTGAATCAGTTTCTACTATGGAATTCAATATATCACTTTGTAATTTTAAAATTATGCATTTTAAGTTAATGACTTGTTTAAAAATAATATATTTTTCTTTGGAGCGTTCCAGCCATTCATCTTTAAATGAAAGATCAAAAGAGCTGAACTACATTAATGAGAAGACAAACTAGATTAAGCACATGGCTGCCACCCAACCCTGTCCAGTTCAATGTCTTACAATAGGAAATTAAAATAGTTCAAAAATATAAATCAAATTAATGAAAATGACAAGGAGACACTGACTTGGTTTTAAATTCACTGTTACTTATTTATTAATATAGCTATCTGCTTGTTTCATTTTAGATCACTTATCTTTATTTAAGTGTATTGCACTCAATCTTGCCATCATGATAACCGTATCTGGATTGTATAACCCCTTAAACAGCTCAAAAGTAGGTCAACAATCTGTTGGCTATATTTGAGTACCCTGATTGCTCTACATACGTGACAGAAATTGATATATCCTAATGTACATTAGTTACTTATGAACCAAGTACTATAACTTTGCAGAATAAATTAACATACATAATGGCTATACAGTTATTCAATTTAACTAACTTGTGTATTTAGTACTGCAAGGTGATTTCACCTTTGAAGAAAATTGGGTTCTTAAAGAAAGGAAGAAGTCGTGATTTTTAAACAGTAAGAATTTCATACTTGTTTTAAAACCTTTGGAAAGGACTCTTCAAGAAAGTCCTAAAATGTATTCTCCTAGAGAGCCTGAAAATAGGCTATCAACCTGCCAATAAATGGAACCCTTAATCAGAATCATAGACAAAATAATTCCACACAGACTTCTAGCTGTCAACTGGATCCCCCCAAAAAGCAAAACCTGAGAGACTCAAATGTCCTTGCAACAGGTCCTACTATTTTCTGTACCAGGAAGCCAAAGAGAAGAAATGCTTTCCAAGAGGAAGAAACTATTCCACAAAACAAGTATTTATCAAAATCATTTGATTTGTTCACCGAGTTTTCCTAAACTTTATGTTTTAAATACCACATCACACTTTAAACATAACAATTTACCACAGACTGACCATTTCATCTTTGCCAAAAACTCAGTAGAATAAACTGTTACAGGGCAAATTGGGAAGAAAAGGAAGAAAGACATCCTTTTGGAGGGCACTGTCCTTTTATTAAGAGAACTAGTCCAAAAGTGATGCGGCCTGGCTTTTGCTCCCAACAGTGTTCTCTCCCAACATTATTTATCTCCAGAATCTTGAACAAGAGAACACAAAAGGGACTCGGTTTCTTAATTTTGCAAATAACTTCTGTGTTAAATTTGTAGGATTGTGTAATTCCAAACATAGCACATCTTTCAAATCATACTCCAAGAACAAGAAGATACTTTGATGCCAATCTACAGAGTAGAAGTTATGGAAAAATCTGGTATGAGAGATCCCTGACCAAAACAGAATGACTCATGTAAGCCACTGTCAGCATCTCAATGAGAACCAACTCTCCTTAATCTAAACAGAAGACTTCAACAGGAGCCAAACTGTTCTCTGTACCCACTACCTTCTTTTTATATACCACATAAATTCGTAAAAATAAAAAAAGATGGAAATTTTCACTGTGGCAGAGAAAAAGGAATCGACAGTATTGGCTTATACTAGAAACTACTTTGTTAAAGGACAAACACCATTTGCACTACAAATCAGATAAAAATGGCATTAGAAGAAAAATGGAACCTTAAAAAAACAACCAAATTCATTCCTGCAATGAAATGACTCCTGTTGAGTGATACAATGAAATCAGTGTCCTCATGGATGTTGGGAAGGCATCTCCTATTAAAATGTCACTGTATGAGGAGGACAGGTATCCACTGTCACTGCTGTCATACCCCGCACACTGCTTGCCACAGCACAAACGCCTACTATGTAAGGCATTTCTAAATGGCACATGGGGAAAATGTATGAATGAGGAAAGAGATTTTCTGATCCCAGATTTGTCATTAATAAGGTATGATTTCTCAGCCAAAGCCACAGGGTTGACCAAACAGCCAACCTCTGAGTTTCACCTAGTTTTATCATCTGGAAAATAAAACATAAATTCTGAAGCTACAAAGAATGACAAGGTATTATGGAAGAAATTCTTAAGGACATGAAATTGGTTGGATTGTAACAATGGGCTTACATATGTTTATATACTTATATGTGTTCAACATGTACATACATGTACACTTATATGTACTTATATTTGTTTATATTATATGTTATTATAAGTGTTTACCATAGAACCAAATTGAACATCTTGAAAAATATCCTAAAATAATGAACATGAAACTGATTTATTTTGTCTTTAGCACAATATTCAAGTATTCAAATATACACATACAATTTTATATACAAACACAGGTGTCATGAAAGAGACAATGCTAATACCCTCCTTTAGTTTGAAAATCAGAGCTCTGAGACTTAATGAATGTCCAAGTTTATCAAATTACATGGTACCATATCCTCTTTCACTTCATGAATAGAGTTTCAGTACAAGTACAATGAATGGATTAAAAGGATTCAATTAAAAAGTACCATTGTGGTCTATTAGCATTTCCTTCCCCCCCCTCCCCCCCGCCCCCATGGGTGTTACTGATTTACTTAAGAATGGACAAGAGAGGACTTTTCATCATTAGATATACCACATAATATTGCTGCTGAAGTCTTACCTTCCAGGTTTGGTGCTATATTTCTGCAGTCGTGCTTTAACTTCATCATATGTGAGAAATGCCATGTAACCCGGATGTGTTACAGCTAAGAAATTCCAATTCCGTAAAATAGAGCCCCAAGGCTAAAAATATGAATAAATGAAAAGATACTATTTAGATAATATCAACTATCAATTATACACCAACCCATCACTTAATATAGTTACTGAAATCTCCTAGATATTTTTAAAGTGAATATGAGCTTCTGTAGCTTAGGTCAACCTTTACCATTTAACAGTAAACATGAAATACCTTACTCTCTTTTTGGAGAAATATTAGGCAGAAAACAGGATAGGATACAGAGAACAAAAAGAAAAACTATATACTTTCTTCACAAGTTCTATTCCCAATACAGCATTTGTGGTAATTTTGAAACATAAAACACATCACTTTTCTGTTCAAAACCCTCTAACTTTGAGTAAAAGTCAAAGTCCTTACAAATGGTCTAGAAGGACTTTACAGGGTTGATGCCCAGTTCCCTTTCCTCCCCATCTGTTGTGACTTCTCCACTTTCTGCCTCTTCTCCAGGGATGATGGCTTCTTTGTAGTGGGCTTGAACACAAAGGTACTCCCCCACCTCAGAGGCTTTGTATTTGCTAATGATGCCTCTACCAGAATTTTTCCTCCAAATAGCTAAGTGATTCCTCTCCAGTGTTGCTTCCTCAATGAAGCCTTCACAGACCACTCTATTGAAAACTGCTAGCTCTCATCACATTCCTTATCTCCCTTGGTCTGTTTTGTTCACCACTGTACCTTTAAGGTATCTAATTTTATAGAACAAGAAGCCATACCATGGGATGTAAGTGATTTGGCACCATTTATACATTAACCAGAAGCTACACAAGAATAAGGAACATGCCTGTCTTGCTCACCAAAGGGATACCAGCACTGATGTAGTCTCAGAATACAGTGATCAGGGAGGTGTAATTGTTGAAGAGCTCCTCTAACTAGTCACTTGTCTAAAAGGCCTTGACTCCCAACCTACCATTCTTTCCATGGTAACGTACTACTCTGCTCACATTTGGCTAGTTCTTGCACAATTACAGAAGGTTTATGATTCAGTAGTAAGTTAAAGATCTTGCACAGAAATACACAAAGGCACACAAACAGAGTCTGTACCATTCTCTCTTTCATGTGATTAGTTACCCCTCCAGTTACCATGGCAAGAGAAAAAAAGGCAGTCAGTGATAGACAATTTTGCTTGAGGGTGTGAATGAATTGTCTCGGCCATATTTTTAAGGCTGAAGCTGCATTTATTCCATGGACTTGGCGGCATACTCTATCTGATGTGCCAGGTTATTAACTCATATCTTCTACAGAAAAGAAGAAAAAACGGTATTTTATGTTGCCAAGTGAGAACTGTTGAAGTGGTCATCCTAGACATGATCATTGGTAGAGGGCTCCTGCTTTTGAATGTTTTGAGACTTGTTCCTCATTATTGTTAAGCAAGTTTTAGATTCACAAGGCAGAATTCTTCAAGGATTGTATCTCTTGAGATGAGGATAACAAGGGAAAGAAAGATTTAGTAATGAAGAGTTCTTTAACCTTTTCTGACATAACAAGAAAAATCTTCAGGGTATTCCCCCAGCACACTAAAATATCTAATTGGGCAAAAAGGAGCCCTGGAGAACACAATTATGAGAGGTTCTGTCTATGTACTTGGGGGGAAAAGAAAAAAAAAAAACATGTTTCTAATTTTCTTCTAAAATCATGACTAAAAATTACATAAGCAATACTTGGAAGAATATTAGCGTATCTTTTTAAAAAAAACTGAGAAATAACTGCTAGTATAGGAAATGGGTTTTGTTTTGTTCTACTTCCTCATCTACAAAGAACAAGGATGGAGAGAATATAACATATTTGGGTCACTTCCATCAAAGTCTACAAAAACTAATGGAAGAGTTGTTTAAAAAAGTGCTGCACTTTGTGGAGAACCAATGCGCAGATCAGAATACAACTGAAAAAAAAAATGAAATTGGAGTTTTGAGCCAACTGCTACAGTATTAAGCAACCATTTCTTGGTACATAATCCAGAGGGCCAGCTTCTAACTACAAAAATATTTGTGTAATAGAAAGAGTCTGTGTACTGTTTTTCTTGTGAATGCTACCCACAGTCTGAAACACATGGTAGTTACGTGTTTTTTGTTTTTTTGTTTTTAAAGGATTTTGCGAACTAATGGCTTAAAGAAGGCAAAATAAAATGCTTTGGAGAATAAGATTATTTTTGCATTTGTTTTTAGACTAAAGGAAAGGTTTTCACACCCACCAACACAAAATTATTTAGAGATTCTTAAATGACTACAGAAATTAATTGAGTGAATGAAGGAAGCTATTCCCTCCATTCTTCCAAAATACTATTTTCAAGAATAGCCCTTTACTGACTTAAAGCTTCTGCTGGAAGAGGGGCCCGGACTGCTCTGTCTAGATCCGCTCTCTTATTCCTTGCTATAACAGATGTCTTTCCTCTTCTTCTTTTGCTCTCTATTCCACTGATGCTATATATTCCATAGTCACGAATATATTCCCCCAAATCACACATTCCTTATGCCGCCACCCAGAAGCCCCATTTCTCAGCAACCCCATCGTCTCTAGTAGTGGGGAAATGGAAGGAGAAGGGGAGCAACAGCCCCAGGGAGAGGGAAGAGAGAAGCAAAATCCCCCTCTTTCTGTTTCAGGACTTTAGCACCTGCCAATCCCAGCATCTCTGAACTACCTGAAAAGGAGAAAGAGAAGATTAAAGGCAGAAGAAAGAGGAAAGGAGGAAGGTAGCTACTGCAAGATTGTTCCAACATCTTCCTAGTATTTGTTCAAGTTCTGGCAGAATGTCAGGATAAGGGAAAAGAGGAAAAGAACGTACCTAGTAACCAGACTTACGTTCTTTTCTTCCCTTCTTTCATTTCCTAGACAATTCTCAATTTCATCTCCTAGTTCCTGCTGATGACTTCTTCCAACCCTTATGCTAGTTCTCTGTTGTCAAACCGCAATCTTGAGCATGTACCTTACTCACTTTCAGAGCCCATTCTGCTAAATACCCCACTCCCAACAATTTAGAGGTGAGAATTCATTGCTAATTCACCACCACCACTGTGCCTGCAGAAAAATATATGTTCATGCAGTTATAGTATTCATAAAACACATTTTTCATACAGAATGCATAATTATAACTTAAAAAAACCTACTACTCAATTTTTAAAGTTGTATAAAATAAAAGATCAGTAAAAGTTAATTTTAAGGCACATGTATGATTAGTTAAAACATCTGAGTAATGAAACCGAAAGAAGTGAAGAATCACAGAAGTATATAGGAGCTAATGAGAGTTCTTTAGCTACTTCTGTAATTTTGAGTTTTAAAAGAGACTAGGCATGTTTAATTTACAGGTATTTTTTTGGTTTTGTTATCTAAAACTTTTCATGGTAACTCTACTTAAAAAGACTCTTTTCCTCTCCCATCCCAGTGAGCATAAATAAGACACACGTAAGAGTATTAAGATCACCTGCGCTGTTTTAAAGTGAAACAGCTTATAAGAAAATATGTACACGTTAAATAACAGTTTGGGTAAGTGTTCAACCAACATTAAAGTGCCCTCATAACTTTCATATATAACCCAGGCATTCTAGCATTTAACATCCGCACTAAAAAGTCATCTAGGCCGCCCAGAAAAAAACACACTTTTTCTAGAATGAACAGTTAAGGCAGGAAAATAATTTTTTTCTCTTCCTTCACAAGGGGAAGAAACAAAGCTTCTACTACTTCAAATGTCTTTGTATTATGTGAAATAAATTATTTGTAAAATTATCAGAAACCTTTAAAGAAAGGAGAGGTTCTATTATAAAATGGTCAGTATCAGGTAACACAATCTTTTTACAAAATGTATCATTAAAATCATTGCCTAAAGTAAGCTAATGGCCTATACAGGCATACCTCATTTTATTGTGCTTTGCTTTAACTGCACTCCACAGATACTGTGTTGTTTTTGTTTTTGTTTTTTTCAAATTGAAGGTCTGTGGTAACCCTATATTGAGCAATTCTTTCATGGCACCATTTTTCCAACAGCATTTGTTCACTTCAAGTCTCTCTGTCATTATTTTGGTAATTTTTTAAAAGATTTATTTATTTATTTATTTATTTGAGAGAGAGAGACAGTGCAAGCAGGGGGAGGGGCAAAGGGAGAGGGAGAGAAACAGACTCCTCACTGAGCACAGAGCCTGAGACACGGGGCTCGATCTCACAACCCTGAGATCATGACCAGAGTCAAAATCCAGAGTCACACACTTAACTGAACCACCCAGACACCCCATATTTTGGTGGTTCTTAAAATATTTCAGATATTTAAATCATCATCGTTTCTGTTATGGTGATCTGTGATCTTTAATGTTGCTACTGTAATTTTCAGGAGTGTCACAAACCACACCCACATAAGATGTCAAATGAAACCCATAAATGTGTGTTCTGACTGCTTCACTGACCAGCTGTTCCCCCCCATCTCTCTCCCTCTCCTCAGGCTCTCTATTCCCTAAGACACAACAATATTGAAATTAGGCCAATTAATAACCCTACAACATCCCCTAAATGTTCAAATGAAAGAACAAACTAGAAATGATTCAGCTGAATGAGGAAAGCAAGTTGAAAGACAACACAGACTGAAACCTAGGACTCCTGCAGCAAACAGCCAAATTGTGAAAGCAAAGGAGAGGTTCTTGAAGGAAACGAAAAGTGTTATGCCAGTGAACACACAAATGATAAGAAAGCAAAACAGCCTTATTGCTGATACAGAGAAAGTTTTAGTGGTCTGAAGAGCAGAGCAAACCAGCCAAAACCTTCCCTTAAATGAAAGCCTAATCCAGAGCAATGCCCTAACTCTTTAATTCTAGGAAGACTGAGAGGTGAGGAAGCTACAGAAGAAAAGTATGAAGCCAGCAGACGTTGGATCATGAGGTTTAAGGAAAGAAGCTTTCTCCGTAATATAAAAGTGCAAGGTGAAGTAGCAAGTGCTGATGCAGAAGCTGAGCAAGGTATCCAGAAGATCTGGCTACAACAATTAATGATGGTGGCTACCTTCAATGGAGAGGAAATGGCCTTCTCTTGGCAGAAGATACCATGTAGGACTTTCATAGCTAGAGAGGAGAAGTCAGTGCTATAGTCAATACTATTCTCAACAGAGCCTGGATGACAACACACCTGTTTACACATGGTTTACTGAATAGTTTCAGCTCACTTTTCAGACATACTTCTCCAGGCAAAAAATTCCCTTTCAAACTATTACTGCTCATTGTTGATGCATCTGGTCATCCAAGGGCTCTGATGGAGATGTACAATGAGATTAATTATTTTCATTCCTGCCAACACAACAGCCCATGCATCAAGGAGTAATTTCAACTTTCAAGTCTTATTATTTACTTATTTTTTAAAGATTTTATTTATTTAAGAAAGAGAGAGAGAGAGCACTAGAGGAGTAGAGGGAGAGAACCCTCAAGCAGACTCCCCGCTGAGTGTGGAGGCTGACGCAGGGCTCGATCTCATGACTCATGAGATCACGACCTGAGCCAAAAGCAAGAGTTGGACGCTCAACCAACTTAGCCACCCAGGTGCCCTCAAGTCTTATTATTTAAAAGATGTGTTTTGTAAAGCTATAGCTGCCCTATACAGTGATTCCTCTGATGGACCTGGGCAAAGTTAACTGAAAACCTTCTAGAAAGGATTCACTACTCTAGATCCCATTAAGAATATTTGTGATTCATGGAAAGAGGTCAAAATATCAACCATGGACAGGAGTTTGAAAGAGATTGGTCCCAACCCTCGTGGATGACTCTGAGGGGTTTAAGCCTTCTGTGGAGGAAGTAAGTGCAGATGGGGTGGAAATAGCAAGAGAACTAGAATTAGGAGCGGAGCCTGAAGATAGGACTGAATTGCTACAATCTCATGATACACCTTCAACAGATGAGGAGTTGCTCCTTAGGAATGAGTGAAGAAAATGGTTTCTGGACATAGAATCTACCCCCTGGTGAAGATGCTGTGAAAATTGTTGAAATGACAATAAAAGATTTAGAATATTAGTTGATAAAGCAGCGGCAGGGTTTGAGTAGATTGACTCCAATTTTGAAAGAAGTTCTACTGCAGGTAAAATGCTTTCAAACAGTATCACGTGCTACAGAAAAAAACTGTTTGTGAAAAAAAGGACCAATCAATGCAGCAAACTTCACTGCTGTCTTATTTTAAGAAATGGCCACAGCCACCCCAACCTTCACCACCCTGATCAGCAGCAGCCATCAACACTGAGGCAAAGACCAAGACCCTCCACCAGCAAAAAGATTACGACTCACTGAAAGCTCAGATGATGGTTAGCATTTTTTAGCAATGAAGTATTTTTAAATTAAGGTGCATACATTGCTTTTTTAAGACATGATGCTATTACACATGTAATAGGCTACAGTACAGTGTAAACATAACTTTTATATGCACTAGGAAACCAAAAAAAATTTTTTGACTTGCTTTATTGTGATATTCACTTTATTGCACTGGTCTGGAACTGAATGAACCTGCAACATCTCCAAGATGTGCCTGTATATACCAAGGGAATAATCATGAAACTAGTGTAAACTGAAAATATGCAAAAGCACAATTTCTGCAATCATTTATCTAATTTCTTATCCTATACATCCAGGTAGAATATGATCTTAAAGTTGTAATAAAATAAAATGTGTTCTATAAGTATTGTTGACAAGAATTAATTTGCCTTCTGTTAACAGGTCCTTTCGTAAATTAAAAGTTAATCCCACATAATTTGATTTTCTTACATAAATCAGTCACCAGATCCTTGCAAACTAGTGCCAAGGAGAATCATAAATCAGAGAAGGGAAATTCTTATAACATGGGAAACATGAAAACCAATATTATACTCCCAACATTTGTTGAAAGCGTGTTTCAAACAGAATAAATCTTACTATAGACTAAAGTAATAAAAAATTGCATCAGAATACAAGCAAGCCTGTTTTCTGATCAATTTACCTCACTTACTATAGAATTCATATTACTACAAGCATAAAGATTTTAAGTGGGATTCTTTCATTTTGTGACTACTTGAATTGAATGCCATACATGATATATTTGACTCTGCCAATGCAGAGTCAAATAGAAAACACAAATTTCAAGTCTTCATGTTTAGGGTAGTTCCACGAAGATATACAAAAGAATAAAATGATAGCATCCAGCTTTCATCATTCAATAACACTTGCTTTTGAAAAGCTATCTAAAGACAATTATAAAGGACAGACTAAAAAATAAAAACAATAAACAGGACAAGAAGGTTATGTCACAGTCATACATATCAGTGAGGAAACAGGAAAAAAAAAAAAAAAGCCTAAATTTACCAAAAGAGTAATTTGTTAAATTAATGACATACTATTTTGATGGAATATTATACAGCAGCTGAAAATTAATAATTATATTAATGAAAAAGATTTATTGACATGAAAAAATGTTTATAATATATGGTTGAATGAGCAACGTAAGTTGTACAACAGTACACACCACTGGACTCTCCTATACAGAACCTGATAAATTTACTATTTATTGCCAAGTTTACCATTTCCTTTCTCACCAAATGAAAGCAGGAGACAAAGGGGAGACATTGGGATACAACCTCAGCAAATGCCCACCTGTAAAATTTGCATTCTGTCAGTTACTGGGCTAAAAGTGAGAAACTAAATAGGAAATTTAAGAACAAAGCTCCTTTGCATGGATCTTCTCAAAGGTAACAAGCAATCGCCAGCCTCATAGCACCTGGTACTCCGAACTTAAACCCTAAACATATAGAAATGACCAAAAACTTACACCAGCGACTTCAAAATTATAGACTACCAAAAATGAGACTATTTCTCATATGTTTGTGTGTGTGAGAGAGAGATGTACACATACACGTGCACACAAATGAACACACGCACATCACATGCGCACACAGGGAAGGAGACCAGGAGGGAGGAAAGGATGAAGCAAATAGGAAGCTTACCTGAAAGAGCCTGGTAAAAATATCAAATTCAAAAACTGAAATGTAATCATTACAAGTTAAATCAATTGTTGATTTCAGAGCCATTGCTTCCAGGCCAGAGCTAATTTGATGAACCTCATGAAGGCACTGTCTGAATACTTTCCATGGAACAATAGTTCTGTGCAAGGAAAAAAAAAATAGTAGTTGAATCAAGTGTCATTTAAGACTACCTTCCACTGAAATAGCACAGTTCAATCATAACAGTAATATAATTAATTGCATTTGTATTAAAAGACAAATAGTTGAGAAAAAAGAAGACAAACAGGTGTTCATAATCAGTAATGGGTTTTGCTAACTGGATTATTTTCCATTTGCTAAGAATGTGACAAAAATCTAAGTAAATTTCTCTCTCAAAAAAATCCTTCACTATCAAGATATTTCTAAAAATACATCCAAAAGAAGGGATTAGGTCAAAGTCCTGTGTGTCTGACCTCTTGCGTACACAAGATCATTTGACTTTGAATCAAGTTAAATTTTCCCCCTCTTTATTTCCTTAAAATAACTCTAAGATGATGGGTTCACACAATAGTAGGAATTCTTTATTCATGGCACAAAAGAGTAATTCACCATTTTAAGAAAGCGCAGGAGAAAAGTCATGAAGGCATTTTAGCCATTACCCCCTTGTATTCTGCAGATAAACAACATGTTATCTAACCTTTCATATTAATACAAAGGGAAATTTTAAATTGTTTAACTGGTCACACTGGCTAGCATATAGAAAGTTATTTATTGAAAACTTATTTTTCTTAAATATCATGCATCAAAATTTTTATTAAGCAGCGCATTTACGTAGTTTAAAAATTTAGAAGAGCAAAAAACGGTGTCCAGGGAAGTCTCCCAGTCTGTCCTCCACCTGACCGGTTTCTGACCTTCACCACCTCCTCCCCATCATGAAAATAAGTAATACTTATTATTCATCCCTTAGTTCATTTTCCTCCTTTTGGAATGTTAAATGCCTACTCCTGAAAAGGTGGGAGAAAGAAGTCCTTCATGTTTTTAAAATTTTAAGCTGCAGTTTTTACAACAGGACATCATAAGAGCTATACCTACACTCTTAGAAGATTATAAATATTTAAGCCTTAGGTTTTTCTTTTCTAGTATCTTGTAAGAAATAAAAGACTCAGGCTGAATGGACTACATCGGCCCTATCCTAGGCCAATTCTCCCAGCGAAGCATCGCCATAAATGTACAATTACATATTCATTCAATAATTATCTACTGCAGCGGTTGTCAAACTTGAGCATTCATTGGGATCGTTGAAGGGCTTGTTAGGACAGAAATTGCTGATCTGCAGCCCAAGATATTCTAATTCATTATGACTGAGGTGGGGCTGGAGAACTTACAGTTTTAACAAGTCTCCAAGTGATGCTGATGTTGCTGGTCTGGGGAACAATACTTTGAGTCACTGATCTCTTAACTGCTAAGGCAAAGCACTGTGGATAAATACAATTACGAAAATACAAGATACTATCTGTCCTTGAAGAAGATACACACAGGATAGAAATAAGACGTGTAATGTTAAAAAAAAAAAAAATTAGAGGGAGGGATATATAAGGAAGTCCTGGAGGAATTCCAGAGAAGGAGTGGTCTGCGGCAAGATGAATAAATGAATGGTGGGATACGCTTACGATACCATGCTGTATTTATAAGAAAGTTTAGGTTTGATATACCACTAAAAGAAAGAAAAATATGAGGCTGAATACATCAAAAGGCTTTTCTCCATGTATGAAAAAAACAGGAAACCACAGAGAACTGAAGAGACATACCACATCAGACGCCGTTTAGAAGAAACACACGTCAGGCTCTGACTAAGGTTAACAAAATGTTGCTGTTTTAAGAAAACAAGGAACACTTCTGATAATGTTAGAAGGCTATTGATTTATGGCGAAGTGTAAATATGTAATTGTGTCCAGTTTCATTACAGTTACCACGAAAGTAGTGCTTAAGAAGCACATTTTCTTTTCCAAATTAAGGTTCAAATATTCAATGCATAAAAGGGACATGAACCATAATATTCAAATTTTTAAAAATTTATACAAAGAACTATTGATTTAAGAATGGTATATGTTTTATTTTTGTATGGAAATCTTAAGAGAAAGTTATCTTGTGTATGAAGTATAAAAAGTAAATCAACTGGCTAGATACCTCTGATACGTTTCCATAAAAAAGTTATCTTCATCCCAATATTTAAGGAGCTTGCAGATCATAATTCCTTTCAATACCCAATGATTTCCCAGGGCAAATTCTTAAAAAAACATACGAACTTCTAAAATTATAGTCTAACATACCACTTGCAACAATAATTTACAAAGCAGCAAGCCACATTTCCACAGTACTTGTGTAAATGATACTTGCTCACAGTTCACTTGTGATAAAGGTGCAAACAAGCTCAATTAAGGGTTGTAACAGGGATTAAGAAGAAAGGGCATTATCTGGTTAACTAACTACATACAAAATTGGTACAACAGATACCTTTCCTTTGATCAACTGAGTCAAACACCCAACATAGAGAATGGTGGGGAGAAAGAGGATTTCATGAGTGAAGAACAGAAATAGCGTACAATGACTTATTAAAACAAACAAACAAACAAACAAAAAACCTGTTCTAAAACTGTTGCACTAAGGATCTAGCCTTTCCAAAGAGGATTTCAAGTTGCTACCACCTTCTTTCCTGATGTGTGTGGGGGGAGGGGAAAAGGAGAGGATGGCTTTCACACCTTTAATTAAACTACAGCAACAACAGAAAGTAGTGGTTTCTACTCTCTTTCCCTAGAGATGAAGTCAGAGAAAATATTAATGACAAATTGTTTTACAAATACGTACAAACTTCATTGTGCTGGCAGAGATCTGGGAATAGAAAAGAGGAAGAAAAACTAAAGAAATAGAACATAAAAGCTTCAAGCTCTCACCAACCCAGAGATATTTTAATCTGTCCTTTTTGCCACTTACAATCATAAATCACTTTAATTACAAATTGAATTAACTTTAAAATCTACTAAAAAGCACAAGTAGCTGTTAATCCACAAAGAATGGAATACAAGGCCAATGGTTAGCCAGACACAGAATAATAATGATTTCAGGATTTTTAAACATCCAGTAAGAGTAAGAGCTGTCATTTATTGATTGGTTGTCTACTCTCTCTGCCAATCACCAAGTCCTATTACAATATATATTACTGGAGTTTGTCACAATAACACCATGAGGCCGGTAATATATTTATCCTCATGATACAGATGGGAAAACTGAGGCTTAAAGAGGTTAAGTAATTTGCCTAAGAAAGACTTTATATGTCCTAGGCATTTTGGTAGGTTCAGAACAGAAATATAAATAAAGTCACAATCTAATTAAGTGGAAAGACTTGTAAATATATTATGTTGTGTCAAGTGCAAAAGTTATTATAGAAAAAGATGGATGTGCCTTGCAAACCCCATGAGATGAAGCTCCCTGAGAAAAGGGAGCTTACTCACCTTTGCCCAAGACAAACAAGGTGTGCAACTAAAATTTGTGTAATTAGGGGCACCTGGGTGGCTCAGTCATTAAGCATCTGCCTTTAGCTCGGGTTGTGATCCTGGGGTCCTGGGATCGAGCCCCGTGTTGGGCTCCCTGCTTGGCAGGAGGCCTGCTTCTCCCTCTCCCACTCCCTCTGCTTGTGTTCCTGCCCTTGCTATCTCTCTCTCTCTGTCAAATAAATAAATAAAATAAATAAAATCTTAAATAAATAAATACATAAATAAAATAAAATTTGTGTAATTAAACTGTGTCTAGGGAAAGCAAGGGAGTGTTACACGGAGGAGGAGCCTAGAAATTTGTGCTCAGTCACTTTCTCCACTACACAGAAATCTTTTGAGGACTGAAAAAGAGTAATAGTCCATTCATATCATGTCAGGAGAGATAAGAACTTAATATAAGACTATATTATTTTATTATTAGATGATAAGTCTTGGTCTGTTTACTAAGAAAACAAGAGTAACTTTATTTATAGTCTTGAAAACAGAGGGAGTGTCCTTTCAGATAAAAACAGATAACAGGGAAACAAAACTGAAAAGTTGTCAGTAGGTCAGCAACTGACAAGCCACTCAAATCTTCCAGGCTTTTCTCCTCCTCTATAAAAGTGGAAGAGTATATTGGATATTCTAACTTGAAAATCTTGCAGTTTAAAAAAAATAATAAAAGGAATGGAAGACAAAAGATGTTAGGAGATTGTCACACACACACAAAAACAAAAGAAGGCAAAACATTTTCATGACACCACAAGTTCATAAAAGGATATAGGTTTTACTTTTAAACTCCTATGAAAAAAAAAATCCACATAATAAAGGTGTGAATCTCAACAAAGGCTAGGGTGTTTGAAAAGTCATATACTTCTGGTGTGAATGAGAATTTATACAGCACTTCTAGAAGGCAATCTGGCAGCAAGTTTCAAAAGCCTATTATTTTTTGACCCTGAAAGCCTACTTCTAGGGATTTCACCTAACAAAATTATGTCAAAAATAAATAAATAAATACACAGTGGCACAAATATCCATCCGTAAGTCTCTTCAATATAGTGTTGTTCATAATAGTAATAAATTAAAAACAAATACACTCAATGGTAATAAAAGGACATACTACATTCAAAGATTATAATATTATAAAGCAATTAACAGTTGTACAAAAGAATATTGTCATGGAAAAGTGTCCATGACATACTTAAATGGGAATAGCATTTTTGAAATTGCATGTCCTTTACGAGCCAATGCTAAAAACTGTCTAGAATGTCGGGAGAGATCAATACACAGTTTAACTGATAAGAACTGGCTCATGCTGGGAGTTTAAGTGATTATTTTATTTTTCTCTATAAGCCATTAGAGTTTATTAGAAATAAAGAAATAAAAGATATGCTAAAACTGTTTTAAAATATATTATATAATCATAGAATGAATCAATTAAAAACAAAAATTATAATAGTATTTGCCTGAGACCACAGGTTTATATGTAGGAAATACAAAAGAATTTATATATTGAGCTATGAAAAGAAATAAGAATTCAACATGGTTGCAGAATAAAAATCAGTTGTATTTCTATAAATAAGCAATGTATCATTAGAAAATAAAACTTAAAAATACTTGATTTTTACAA